CAGGGAGCCATCCCTTCTCCCTGGAATGCGGCACCAGCCCCTACACCCACAGCCAGAAAATTAGCGCCCAGCTTCAAACACCACCAATCCTGAAGTCAGTTCCTGCTGAGGCCTCCCATCCATTCTGTAATTCCATGGTAATGGCTGAGGTCACCTTTCCCCTGAGACTCAGCTCCCAGCCTTCCATTGGCTTCTTAGAGGAACAGTGGGATTTCCCAGAAGCACTCCCAGCCTGGGCAAGAAAGGCTTTGAAATGTTCTCTATGTATTTTCCAGGACATGGGACATGAGGAGAAGTCATTTTGGTGTGTATGTGCAACAGTTTTGATGCAAAAAGTATCTTTTTCAGACAGAGATCAAAGAATGGGGCTACTGGGTGTAAAAAGAAAATGGATATGCTGAGCCATCTTCTTCATGGTGTGAAGTCTTAGAGAGCAAAGAACATGCTTAAGAGCAGAGAATATGAAGACAATATCTTATGTTCAAATTCCAGCTCAATCACTTCCTAGATACGGTAGCGGGCAAGTTACTCACCTCATCAGTGCCTCAGTTTCCTCATCTGGTGTCAGCAAGAATGATAAGTGTACCTAATTTGTAAGGACATGGAGAGTATTAAAGGAGTTAATGTTTGAAAACTGCTTGCAACACCTAGCACCTTACAAGCACTGTACCTAGCCATTATAAATGAAATGGAAACATTCTTCTGATGTTCTTCTGATGCTATCTTTTTACTCCAGAAGGGAGACTAGTGCCTGGATGGATGTAGACAGCACTCCCTGAGACAGGATGAATTGAAGAATGAGCAACACTGTTGAAGGCATTTCCAATGGCACATCTGCCTCCTTATGGACATTCTCTAGCAGAATCACACCCAAGCATCCCTCCTCTCTCCTGCATCATATTCTGGGATTCTATCCAGAAATCATGGGGGCTTCTTGCACCCTGGCACCCACACCCACTACAGGTTCTCTTCTCTCTAGCAGCAAACCTTAGGCCTTGTCCTGATGGCTGAAGCCCACAGGCTCTGCACTCTGATCCTTTTCTTCACTTGAGGGAGAAGTGCCATCCCCAGAACTGGGCACACACAGTGTGAGCCTTGGAGTGAATGTCTCCCTGGCCGGTTTTAGGTGGAAGAGCACCATGACAGAATGGGACTTAGGGAGAGTCTTCCAGGTGTGCTCAGAAGGGGCCCAGCCAGGGCATTGGTCAGCAAGGTCTGGTCTGGTTGGTGGACCTTGGTGGCAAATGAGTGGCAGGGGCAGCATGTTTTAGAGGTCCTGGCAGGAGACAATTCATAGGATGGTCATGAAGTCAGAATCAGCCTAATAAGCTCCAACTTAATCCACTGTCATCTGTTCCCTGGCTGGCTGACTAATCCAGGAGTGATTTAGAAGAGTGATATTCGTGTTCTATCATCTTTTCATTGGTTGTCTACAGCTATTATTCTTTACATAACTTGTATATGTCTACAAAGGAAAGGAAAGGTTAGTTTTGTTACAACCCTTCTAGCAAAATTCTCCCTAACATATTGAATCACTAACAGTATCCACCGCTGGGAACCTCATATAAGATGCTGACATTTACTCTCTGGTTTCATATCTTCCTGTTTGGTAAATTCTCTTGACTTCTGGCTTCTTTCCTGAGGTTCATCCACTCAGGACAATGTAGGAGTGCAATCTCTTGCTACTTCAGAATAGTGGGGCAACTCTATGATGATGTTGCTTTTGTTTTGTGACTGTGTGTGTGTGTGTGTGTGTGTGTGATGAGACTGTTTTCTGCGTCTTGCCACGTGGGTTGGATTGACTCCTTTCCTTGGAAAAATTGTCCCTTACCACTTTCTCTGGGCTTTATTTTCATGGCTTGAACAGTGCTGTGCAACAGTAGAATCGACACTCTATCTTATGGAATTTAAACTTCTTTTAGTAGCCACATTTCAGAAAGTAAAAATAAACAGGTGAAACTAATTTTAATAGTGTATTTTAACCCATTACAACCAAGATATTATCATCTGGCCAGGGCAATCTATATAAAAATTATGATAGAGATAGTTGAA